ACAACCATAAGGTTTTATTGAAGGATTCGGAGGGAAAAAAGGAAAAAAGAAAGGAAATGACACAAAATTATTGAATTATTTAATAAATATAAACGTAAAAAAGAAGAATTTCCTTCAAATTACCTCTTTATTCTTAGATTCGTCTTCTTGTTGCATGAATACAATAAAATTGGTTATACAAATATGTACGATCGTTCTGCTGATGTATGAATATAGTCGCTAAGCAGCAACAACAGCAACAAAATATGAATAATATATCGATAAAAAAAGAGAAAAAGATTAATTTAATTAAATTAAAATAAAAAGGTCCTTTTTATCTTTTTATTCATCTATTTAACGCTTAATTTTATTATTTTTTACCTCCAACACAAACCTCACCGGCACAACCTGTCTGTACACCCCAATGATCGTTGCTTTCCTTCTTATATTTATTGCTTTTATTAATTATCATTTCTTTTTCTTTTATAAATTTAATTTATTTATTAATTATAATCATTAAAAGCTAATTAACTCTTTTCTTATGCCTCTATACTGCAGAAGATCTATAAGGAACGGTCCTATCTTAGCTCCCCTTTATATATTTATATATTATTGAATATATTATAAAATATTAAATATATAATTCTTATATATATATATATATATATTAATTTAATTAAACAAAGAAATATATAATCAATAAACTACAGTACATTTACTAACTTTTTAATTGTACAAGATGCATGCATGCATTATCTTCTTCCCTTTACGAAGGAAGATAACATTAAGTGTATAAGTATTTCCCTAATAAAAACAAATTAATAAATTATATATTAATTAGTTAATAGGGGAAAGGGAAAGAAAGGGAAATAATAAATAAAATAACATAAACTAATTAATAAGAATATATGCATGCATGCAGATAAAGGGTTAACCTACAGACAGTCCTATCAGCTTTATTTGCTAGGCTTTAGGGTTTAGGGTTTAGGGTTTAGTGTTTAGGGTTTATGGTTAACATTCATTAGCCGTTTCTATATTCTTTTCTTATTATTGTTATTTTCCTCCACTGTTTGTTTTATATAAACCCTAAACCCTAAACCCTAAACTCTAGGCACTAAACCCTAAACCCTAAACCCTAATTTTATTGGAGGTATTTATTTTAATTTAGTATAATGTTATGACAAACTAAATAAAAAAAAATCCTCAGGGGGCCCCTTCTTTACTTCTCCATGGGGGCCCCTTCCTTTCTTTATCGTCAAGTGGGTGGGATTAGGAGGGGCCCCATGCCACATGTTGGGGGCCCCTTAGTTAGAAGGAGGGGCCTTTTTAGGTGGTGGGGGCCCCTTACTAGGTGGTGGAGGCCCCTTGCTAGCCCCTGGGGGGCCCTTAGACGCCGCTGGAGGCCCCTTGCTAGCCGCTGGGGGGCCCTTGCTAGCACCTGGGGGGCCTTTAGTAGCCGCTGGGGGGCCCTTAGTAGCCGCTGGGGGCCCCTTACTAGCAGCTGGGGGCCCCTTACTAGCAGCTGGTGGCCCCTTACTCGGCGGTGGGGGCCCCTTACTAGTAGCTGCTGGGGGCCCCTTCGTAGATGGCGGGGGCCCTTTTGAAGGAGTTGGGGACGCCTCAGCAGATGGTGAGGGCCCCTTACCAGCTGCTGGAGGCCCTTTAGTAGGTTCTGGGGGCCCCTTACTGGCGGCAGGGGGCCCCTTACTGGCTGCAGGGGGCCCCTTACTGGCTGCTGGGGGCCCCTTACTGGCTGCTGGGGGCCCCTTGCTAGCCGTCGGTGGCCCCTTGCTAGCCGCTGGAGGCCCCTTTGTGGGCAGTGCAGCAGCAGCTTCTTGTTGTACAGCTTGCTCTGCTGCAGCCTGCTTCCCCTCATCAGCTGCTGCTGTAGCAACTCCGGCGATCTTGCTGCTGCTGCTGCTGCTGCTGCTGCTAGTAGGGGCCTCCCCTTTAGTAAGCAACGAAGTAAATAGCCATGGGGCCTCCTTAAGGAGTTGCTTGTTGTGCTGCTGCAGCAGATCCTCTTCCCTTGGTGTGGTACATTCAGGTGCTGTTTCTGCTGCTGCTGCTGCAGCAGCTGCTGCAGCATCTGCTGCATTCCTTCCAGCTGCTGCTGCTGCTGCAGCAGCAGCAGCAGCATGCTGAGGTGTATGCGCATTAAGTAAATCCGCTAAAGAAAAGATTTGCTGCCTTATATACTCCCATTGCTGCAGCAGAATATTTTTTTCTTCTTTTTTTTGCCCAATTTGCTGCAAAGTGCATGCAAGTTGTATTTCTTTTTTTTTATTAATAAAAGAAGACCAGCAGCGCAGCAGCAGATCTGCTGCTGTTAATCCTTTGCTGCTACGATATAAATATAGATTATATGGACAATGTAGCAGCAGCAGCAACTGCAGCAGCTGCTGCGCTTGCTGCACACGCTGCAGCATTGCTGCAGGTAATATAAATAAGGAAGGATTATCTATTATTATATTAGGTATTCTTTTATCTATTTGTATTTCTTTTATTGTATTTATACTAGATTTCCAGTGTACGTACACCCCAGCTTCCCCCATACCTCTGCTGCTGCTCCTGCTGCTGCTGCTGTTCATGTTGTAGGGGGGAGAGCTGCCATAGAGGGCTGCTGCTGCTGCTGCAGCAGCAGCAGAACCATCAGATTCCCATGATAGTCCTCTGTAGTGTACAGACACCTGACGACAGACACCAGCAGCAACTGCATGCAGGACAGTTAATCCTTCTGCTGTTGTTGCTGCTGCATCTGCTCCTTGCTGCAGCAGCAAGCAGCAAAGAGGAAGATTAAGTTTATAAGCAGCAAGAAATAAAGGTGTCTCTCCTCTATTTGTTTTGCTGTTAATAGCAGCACCGCAGCGCAGCAGCTGCTGTGCTGCTGCTGCATGCCCCTCTATGCATGCAAGGTGCAGCGCAGCAGCACCCTCTATATTAGCAGCAGATACAGAGCTACCAGAAGCAACTAGCTGCATGCATAATTCTCCTTTCCCTCTTGCTGCAGCAATGTGCAGCCCCAAGCTGCTGCCTAATAGTGCATGCGTGCATGCACCCAATAGGCGCCTCCTATAACGATTTACGCTTCTGCTGCTGCTGCTGCTGCTGCGGCTGGACTGCTGCTGCTGCTGCTGTTGCTGCTGCTCTGATGGGGTCTGCTGGAAGAAAAGAGAGGATCTTTGCTGCTGCTGCTCCTTTTGCTGCTGCTGCCTCTCTAGGTCATCGCACCGCTGCAGCAGCAGCCGTAGTATAGCTGAATCTGCTGCTGCTTCTGCTTGTGCTGCAGCAGCATCAACAGCAGCATCTGCTGCAGCAGCACTGCTGCTGCTATGTCCCTCTGCTGCTGCTGCTGCTGCCTGTACACCGCAGACCTCTGCTGTTGTACCACATAAGGCTAAGAGGGGAGTCTCCCCTAAGAAAGTAACAAAAAATATATTATACCCTATCTCTATTAACCTATACACATACACATTATGCATGCATATAAATAATTTATTTATTTATTTATTTATTTATTTATTTATTTATTTATTTGTTTATTTATTTAGTTATTTATTTAATTGATAGACCTAATAAGTAAATAAATATTATATTAATAAGTAAATAAATAAATAAGTAAATATATAAAGTAATTAATTAATTTATTAATTAATTAGCTTATCTATTTATTTATTTATTTATTTATTTATTTTATTTATTTATTTATTTATTTATTTACTTCTTAACAAGATTAGTTTGTCTATAAAGACAAGAAAGTCCTAATAAATTCATGCCTGTAGGTAAATGTGTATAATTAATTAGGTGCCTATACACCCCAAGAGAAAAAGAAGAAAAAATATTTTTTTTTATTAAACAATTCGCTAAATAAAAAGGATCTATAGAGAAATGTCTTGCTGCCTCCTAAGGAAAAAAAAAGAAACAAATAAATAAATAAATAAATAAATAAATAAATAAATAAATAAATAAATAAAGGTATATTTAATTAATTAATTAATTATATATTTATTTATTTAGTTAATTAATAAATAAGAAACAAATAAATAATTATAAACAAATAAACAATAAAAAGAGAAATAATACACCTGAATAAACACAAAAAAAACCCAGTTGCTGCTGCTGCAGTTGCTGCTGTTGCTGCTGCTGCAGTTGCTGCTGCTGCTGCTGCTATTTACCTCCGCTGTAGCTGGATGTAGACCTGTATATAATTTATAATGTATAAATGCTTCTTCTTTATTATGAATAATAGGACGAAAGGTAAGAGGAGGTGTATATACACCTAAAATAGCAGCAAATTGGCGTAGCTGCTGCTGCAGCAGCAAAGATATATCTGAA